TATATATATATATATATATATATATATATATATATAGAGAGAGAGAGAGAGAGAGAGAGAGAGAGAGAGAGAGAGAGAGAGAGAGAGAGAGAGAGAGAGAAAGAGATGGGAAGAAGAACAATCTAGCAGTATTATGTCAAGAATATTTCAAGAGTATAAATTACCCCTTCCAGTTAAAGCATTGTATTCCTAGTGATTTAAACAGTGAGTAGCAAAAGGCAAGCCTCAGCGGCCCCATTTCCTTCTAGGAGTCAGTTACGTCAACATCCTCACGCCCCACTTGGCCTGGCTGCCCGACGCCTTCTTCAAGAACGCCATCACGACGCAACTGGAGTCCGTCTACCCTGAGAGCTACCTGAGGGTCTACCCGAATGGACGCCTCATCTACAGCACCAGGTATTTTAATTTTCTAATTATTCACCTCAGGCGTTTTGATGGTTATCATCTGATTTATTCATTTTTTTATGTACACTGTTCTTAGGGTATGTGAAAAAACGGCAACCTTATGTTTCAGGTTGTCGTTAAAGCAGAACTGTCCCATGAACTTCGCTCGTTTCCCCCACGACACCCAGGACTGCAGAATCCAGGTGGCAAGTTGTAAGTGTTCCTGGTATAAATTTATCTTTTGTTTGACTATTTCCATTTCCATTTCCAGTATCATTTCAATATTAGGAATATGTGACCGGAGGACGGTGCAAAAAAGGTTTAAACTCCCTGGCTTAAACGTAGATTAGTCCAAGATTTTATGGTCGTTCGATGTGACATTACGGCTCTCTTTGCAGATGGCTACACGGCCGACGAGGTCTTCTTCATATTCGACGAGGAAGTCCAGATCGGCAAGGACCTTCACGTTGAGAAATTCCACATGGAGAATATCGGGGATAACATGTTCTCCTATTGCAACACGAAGACGGCTACTGGTAAGACATTTGAGTGCTTAAATGAACAGGACTATGGAGATTTTTGTTTGCGGTCGTACAGTCGAGTCTTGTTGCAGAAGGGTACTTTTAAGTGTTGTCATTTCCGCATTAGGTATGGATTTTACAAACAAAAGAGGGCGAAGTCTCCCCCTTTCTTAGAAAAATCATAGACGTCAAACTCAAGTTGTTGCTATACAGATTGGCGTTATGACTGAAAGGCGCATCTGACTCTGTGATTACTTTATCGCAGACCCTTCCTCACTCGCATTTTTCCACAGGCGAATACAGCTGCGTCCAAATCTCCATCAGCATACGACGAGCTTTCGGCACATACCTGCTGGAGTGGTACTTGCCCGTCATCTTCCTCGTCTTCGTGGCATATTTCGCCTTCCTGATCCCCGGAGACCAGTTCCTCGCCCGTCTCCTCCTCACCCTCATTCCCCTCATTAGCTTGGCTTCCTTCAGCTACAGCTTCAGGCAGTCGTTGGCCTTGGTGCCCTACGCGCGCGCCCTCGACATCTTCACCGGCATCTCCCTCATAGTCATCTTCGCCACGCTCGTCCACGTCATCATGTGCTACATCAAGGGAGGGCAGAAGTGCAACGTGGCGGCGGACGAAGCGGTAAGGGAGAAAGAGAGATAAAGAGAGAGAGAGAGAGAGAGAGAGAGAGAGAGAGAGAGAGAGGAGAGAGAGAGAGAGAGAGAGAGAGAGAGAGAGAGAGAGAGAGAGAGAGAGAGAGAGAGAGAGAGAGATTGAACCAATGACGAAAAAACTAGTTCCTGACATAAAACAGATTAGTATATTGGTAATCCCTTTGCCATTTTGCTGTTCATTTACTGTTTTCCTTTAAGATAATATCGAATCGAAATTTCTAGTTTTCGAGTTTAAAAGGTTCCATAAGGCAGAAACACAGAAAGTATCATGCTATGTATGCACAGTTCTAAACTTGTGGAATGCGGAGAGTGACATGAACTCCTTTTTGTACAGTTTTTTTATTCGTTAACTTCATATATATTGAATATACTGTATATTATGACATATATGTAAATTTTGATGTATAATGTCCGTCGATTTTGACAGGTCATGTTGCTATAATACTGTCTGATTATGGTAATGGCTTTGGTTAATTATTCTAATCCACTAGTGTAAAGTTTTCTTGGCACACACAACACCTGACTTAACTACTGGCACCATAAACTTTGGCATTTGGCAATATCACACACATAATATGAGGTTTCCATTTCATTTAACCATCCAGTACGATCGCCTGGACTGTTGCAGTAATGAATGGATAGTCAGGAAATATGTTCAAAGGATATAATAACAATATAATAATAACAATATTTATCAGTTTAATGATAAATATCTCCTGCGTATCCTACTTGATACGCAAGATTACGCTTTCATAATATTACAAAT